TGAAGTGGAGGTGGACTGTGAAGGCTTGAAGCTGTGTCCCACCTGCCCTGTCCCACATTCACATTCCTCCTGCCCCATCAGGGCTCCACCATTATCACTGCAAATTCCATGTAAGGAGCATGGGTGAGTATCCAGCTCATGGTTTTCATCTTTGTGGTAAATTTTCCTCTTAGCAACTATTTTAAGTTATATTGTTTTTTGTTGTTTTTTTTTCCAGCCATGTAAAACCTTGCAGAGAAACAGAACCTCTTAAAATCCTACACGGAAGTACTCTGATGACCTGTAGAGGTATCGCTTTCAAACAATGCCAGCTGACAAAACTCTGACGCATGGAGGCTTTTCCCTCTGTGCAGGAGCAGTGCACTGAGTCAGCCACATCTCTTCACCAGTTATCATCGCAGTGCTCTGACTAACTTCTCTGTCCTCCTTGGCGACAACCAACCCAATCCAGCCAAACTCTGCCAGGCTTCGGGAAGGAAGGACCCTTCGGGAAGGGCTAGAGGACAAGCCAGCTCCCTCCCGTGCAGGAAGCAAAAGGCAAGGTGGCAGGAGAGAAGGGAGCTGACATACTTCCAGAACCAGTCACATAGTGACTCTTTGCACTAAGAGGAGAGCACGGTCGTCAGCCTGACAGTGAACAAGATCTGTAAACAAAACACTCCCTAGTGGTATTGGGTTCAGAGTGCCGGGCACAGCTCGCCTGCCCGCGCTCATCCACGCTCGCGCCGTAGCGCGGAGGGCAGCACGGCACAAAAACGGGGCCTTTCGCTGCTCTGCACCTTGGGCCGTTCCCTCCTCCATCTTCTCCTGGCTGCTCAATGGGCTCGATGGTTCCTCGGGCGACAACGACCTGCCCCGAGTTCAAAGTCCTTCCTGCTGTCACACGGGAAGAGCAAGATTGATGTGGGCTGAACTGCCGGGAGATGGAGGGCACCTGGTGCTCAAGGGCCACAGAGCTCTGCCAATCTTCCACTCCCTCTTCTCCCTGCTAAAAATAGTCTCTTCTTCTGGTTTCGTCACTAATGAAGGATGGGTTGTACTGTCCCGGGTAGATGCATGAATGTCGAGATCCAGGCAAACCGGTGTAGGGAGGGTAAAGTCCGTTTCTTTCCAGTTCAGGATTTCTCAGTCCAGTTGGCTGTATTAGCAAAAAGTAATCAGTTAAAAAGGGTCTTATTCTCACAATCAAATAGGCTTTCAAGCACAATCTCTTCACCTTTCCCAATAGTAATTTCAGTAGGCAGAAGGAACAACATGATCACTAATGACGTCTACAATCTTGAATAATTTCTACTGTGGGAGTTAGGCATTGCCTGCAGGGCATTATTCTGATCCAATCTAGTTTTAACATGCTAGCCATTAGCAGATTTGAATTTTACCTAACCCCATGTGCAGTCTGAATGCATGGTTAATTTTTAATCCCGTAAGTGCTGTGCTGATGAGCTCAAGCCCTGAAATAACTCTCACAAGAAGAATATTGTCCCAGACTTATCTTTACAAGAAACACTTCCAGTAAAAATCAAAGTTATTTTCCCACTTTGAATACTAACTGGAAGCAATTCTCTCCCTTCTAGCCATAGGTGCCTGTCCTCCCAGTGCAAGAAGCACAATTCAAACCTCCTCAAAACTAAGGTGATCAGACCCTCTATTTTTTCCCTTCTCTTACTCAAACAAGTCTCCTGGGGACACTTAACTGAGGAACTTTGCTGTCTAAGGCCAAGACTGTACAATCCTTTCACCCAAGAAGAAACATTAAGCCATCCAGTTTGATCTGCTACGGATCAAATCTTATGCAAAGCCCTCACCACCTATTCCTCACTACAATGCTTCCCCTTTTAGCCATCAGCATAACAACAGCCCTCAGAAAAGTCTAGGAAATGCACTCTCATTTCCAAATCTCTTATTGAAAGTAGCAAGGAGGATTAAGTCCCTCCATACTGTTTAACCCAGTAAACTTGCTTGGTGGAAATTTAAAATCTAAATCAGAAAAAAAAATACTGCTCTCAGCAGAGCAAACCCACACACCTTGGGAACATCCAGTATGTCAAAACAGTTTAGTGATGGATGTTATACAAACATCACAGCTCTGGATATAGATATTAGTAACTGATACTAGCCAATCATGCAGGCATTACACTGTCTGTGATGCCAGGTCTATGTGCCCTTCTCTGCCCTATGTAGCCCCTTATTCCTCCACCACCTCTTCCCTCTTGTTCCCTCAGAGCTGGAGGGATCCTCTTTACACGGCCTTTCTGCTACGGGAAGGGGTCTGTCCCCTGGAAAGGAAAGGAGCTGAGAAAGACAGGAGTCCCCAGTGAGCAGCCCCTTCCCATTTAGGGTGAAGCCCCCCAAGCACAGGTCTCAACCTCCCAGTGTCAGTGAGAGAGGAAGGGAGCAAACTACCCCCAAGGAGTATTAAGGGACTGTCCAAAACCTTTAACTCTCTTTCTGTGCTCCAGGATTGGGCTTTTTAGACATCTACCAAAATGTTCCTACACATTTCCCTAGTCCTCTTCTTATTTACATCTGTTCAAGGTATTCACCACATGCACTGATACTGCATCTGGCATCCATGTCTGGACTCCTAATGCTCTGCCCTCGATAAAAACCATTGCTTTGCTCTTTTATTTTGCACAAGATGGATCTGTGCTTCCAATAATAAATATGAATCTGTGCTACATCAGACATAAAGGCGTAATAGTTAACTTAAGAATAGGTACCGAATAATATACATCTGTCATCTGCAAGAGGTTCTTAGTGCTTCCGTTCTCCTGCATCTCGATGGTCTCTCTACCCCACTCCTGTGCTCGGGGGTTCTTCGGATACTCAGCATACGGTGACATCTGGAAATCCCCACTCTTGAAAATGAGTTTACTTATGTCATTTTTATTCTTCCTGTTTAGAAAATAAAGAAGGAAAGTAAGAAGGTACAACTTATTCTTTAATCTTATATACATTTGTGATATGTTCTCTGAAGATTTACTAGGTGTTATAAATCTTGGCTTGTAATATTTATGATGTGTTGTAAATCTTGATTGGAACAGCAATCATAAAATTAGTCGTGTTGAGCTCAGGAGCGCTCTATTCCAACCCTCAGCTCCAAGCAAGGTCAGATATGAGACAAGACCAGGTTACAGAGCGGGTCAGGATTTGAAAACTCCAAGGATGAAGATGGCACCACCTCTTTGAGCAAGCTGTTCCAGTGCCTTACTGCCTTTTTGACCAAAGAGTTTTTCTTTATATCCAGTCTGAGTCTCTTGTGTTTCAGATCATGACTGTTGTCTCTTGTTCATCCATAATACACTGTAAAAATCCTGGCCCTATCTTCTTGAAGACCTCTCCATATGTGTTAGATTCCTTATGAAGCCTTCCCTTCTAGCCTATCTAAGTCTGGCTAGGTCAGGCTGACCCCTGTGAAGTCTGTCTAGGTCACTACAAACTGCATCTTTGCCCTCAAGAGCTATCTACTTGTCCTCCTATTTTGAATACTTTTTTTTTCCCCTAAAACTATCTACCATTGCTTGAAATTACAGTAAAATTCAAAGTCTAAAAATCACAGATTTCCTCATCTGCGCTACAGAAATTCAGGAACATTGACACCACAGAACATCCTGGCTAACAGCTGGATGAATTCAGGCACAGGCAATTAACTACAGGAACAACATATCCAGGAAGACTGGATTCTCATATCTGAAGTCTCTGAGAAAAGACTGCTTGTGATTTTAAAGGACATGGCCTGGCTCAAGCAGAAATTATGGATTTAAGGCTTCATGAAATGTTGTGGTCAATGTTACGGGAGGATGATCAAAAATAGCTATTATGGCCACTTTTGTCTTTAAAAATCTATGTGTTTACCTGAGTCAGTGAAAGAGCTAGGAAAATCTTTAAAAAAAACCAAATATGTATGGCAACTCCCAAGCTATTCAAGCCTTAGAACACTTGACTATAGTATTTCTAGGTAATATATTAATTCCTAAGACAGAACTCTAATAAGCTGCCAGTCTGAATAACACCAAATGCCTCTACGTAACTACCATATGAAGCTCATTTTGGAGAAATTTGCAATTCAAAGCAGAAATTCGCCAAAGGAAGAGAGCATTAACAAGTGGCTACTTCAGCAGATAAAGAGCCAGGATTTGTGAAAACATAATCTGCCTGTCTCCTGCAAAGATCTGCACTGAGACCTGGAGATGCTGTAGTTGCTACCTTGTTGGACACTGCAGCTTCTGCTTGGAGCTAGCCTGGGAACCCTGGCTTGAAAACAGGGTGAACAAATGCACACTGCAGAAAGGCGGTGCCAACCAAACCGCTGTCAATAGTAACCTACTGATCATCCAGGTACTGGCTTTGGTCTGGATAGCTCTGAAATCCTAGACTTGGAATGTGAAGGGAGAGGGCATTACTGCAAGACTATTTGATGGTATATGAAGTCATGAAGCATAACTACCTTGGCAGCACATCTTGCCTCTCGTCCAAAGCTACCTGCTGGTATGAGAACTGTGTGCATGCCTGTGTGGGCTGTGTGAGTGTTTGAGAAGTGAGGAGAGAGAGTGTGAACATGTGCAGGATTTGTGCTTAGAGAAAAACGGAGTGCAGCCTTGCAATGCACACAAACAGCCCAGTGACCCTTCCTGTGGCCTAAACTCTTCGTTTTCTACTTAGCTTGGGTTTTTGGGGACTGCTCTTTAGTTTCCCTATGGCTCTGGGTGTGAAGGACCCCATTCTGTCCCCATCCTAGGGACATCCTAGACACAACCTCAAGAGAGACTGAACTTTTTAGCCCATCTACTGGAAAAGAAAAACATATACATCCCCAAATGAAAGCACAACGTGATGCTTATGTCTGTCACTAAACTGCTTGCTCAGCCATACATTTGTCACCTACGTTTTGGTCCGTGAAGGTTCATACATGCTCCACGAGGTGCAGTGTAACACGGTACCTACCGGCAGCAGGTTACGATCAGCGCGATGCCCAGGATGAGCAGGAGGCCCCCTCCTGCGGCGGCGATCACCACCGTGATGAGCTGATACGCTGCGAGGGGAGAGACAGAGACTCTCATGCAGAAACTGCGATGTCAGTGTAAACATTAACACAAGCTCAGGCGGAGTCATTGGGTAAAAGGATTAGCTGTTTACGTCCCTTACTCCCTCCCTCTTCCAGACATACTTTCATGTAAAATGGATGGAGATCTACTGTTGACGGACAAACACACTCCTGTTCCCGTAGAGGACAGATTCTGACAGACCAACTATAAAAATTTGGAAAGATCAAAGTAACACAAGCAATATTTTGTGGATTTTTGTGGATTCACCTCCCAATATCTCACTTAAGAAGTGCCTGCTCTATCTCCTGATAGAGAGAGAGAGAAGGGAGATCTCCAAGAAAATAATGATATTGTTAGGATATAATGTTAAGACAACTTTTCAAAAGGTCAGCACAACAATTTTCAACAGAAAATGAAGGAAATAAAACCACTGATAGGAGTAAGTCTGCATCTGCTACAGGCTAGGCATAGTTATTTATAATTACATGGTTCATATTTCCCATTTCTGAGGCAGTGGAAATTAAAAGCAAAGAAATCTGGTACTTACGGTTTCCGCAGTTGAATCCGCCTAAGCCAAACGGGCATCTGGTAACACAAACAAGAGGGGTTCAGAGGCTGGGTTGTGGCAAGAGGTCACCCAAGCAGCACTGGGAAGGATGGTGGGGGTTAAAGGAAGGCAGAAAGGTCACCGTACCTCACACAGGTCTCGTTTTCCAGCTTATATCCATCGTCGCAGGCTGGAAAAGAGAGAGAAGGGCCGTGAGCACCACGTAGTGGTGCCCGGGAGGTATTTACCACTGCTGCTTCCACGGCAGCTTCACCCCCAGCAGCGCGCGGGACTGACAAGCCTCTCTCTAACTGGCAGAAATGTGGCACTTGTTCAAAACAACGGGCACATACACTTTGCTACCCATATATAGGGTGCTCTGCCTAATGTTATCTTTGCCCTGCCTGCTAGTCTAAACACCTCTGGGCAAAGAGGACCCAGAAGCATCTCCACTGCCACGCAGCGTTAGCTATAGGGCTAAGCTGGAGCCTGTCACGGTATAGGCAGCTGATGGAATATTTCCCAAGAGAATCTCTTCTCACCCAAATCAAAACTCACTGAACACTTGCATTGCTTCATTGATTCCCCCGATATATCACTGTAAAAAATCTGCAAGTGTTTTGGGGTTTTCATTTTGAAACCTCACTTAAACAACATTACCTTAACACAGATGCACATTATTCATTATTTTCAAATGTTAGAACTGCAGCAGAAAGTTATCCAAGCATTACTGTGGCTAACCCCAAACCATATATTACACTTTGCCTCATGGAAAATGTCACCTGTTTTTTTTTTTCTTTCTTTCTTTCTTTCAAAGCTGCAGCTATATAAAATTTTGAAATGTCAAGATTTAGTTGCAGTTGGTACGAAAATGAAAACCAGCCATTGATCCAAAATACAATAACTTCCGTGCTTAATGGGCTGATAGCTAATCATCTGGATTACCTGATAAAATCACAGTGTGCATGTGATGAACAGCAAAGGTGATGATATATTAGTCATACAATTATAAGCTTCATATAACTGACAAGATCACTGCTTTCTCCTGCTCTGGTCTGGAGGACGTGCTGGCTATGTTATATTTAGCCTTTTGGTGCTTCAAAGCAGCAAGACATGCAGAAATTACATTAAAGCAACAGTATCTCACTGGTCCGTGAGAAGGATTGCGTGGCAAGGCCAGCAGGGACCAATGTGACTGTGACCTCCCCATCCCAACACAGGTCACAGAGCTTCCAGTTTCAAATCAAATAGCTGAACTGGAACTATATGTTGGCAAGCCGTCCAAGTTTGATTTTAGTACTTCCAGTGATAGCCAGCTGCAACCCTCAGTCAAACATTCACAAAGTTAATTTTTCCAGCCATTAAAAATATTCCCCTTTTTTTCTGGTCTGAATTATCCCTGTGCCAAATTCCAGCCCCTGAAAGCTTTCTCATTGGACTGGAAAAATGTTGTATTTATATGATCACATTTCTCTTCCTCACCATCACATCACTGCTTAGCCTTCTTGTTACTAAAAGCCAAGTACACCGAGATCTTTGAGACTCCCTGGTTGTTCCAGCTTTTCTCTGAACCACACCACTAGTCCTTGACCTTTGGGATACCAAAACTTCCCCTCTTCTGGCTGTCCATGCTCTCTAAACAAACCCAAGGAACATATTAGCCCTCTGAGTCAGAGCTATGGGACCTCTAACTTATCTGCTGGGCCCTTCATAGCTCTGTTGAGGCCCCTGCTTCCCAGGAGATGCTCCTTGCATGAGCTCTTTGCTGCATGGATTTATTTTTAAGTTTCTAATATGACTCTTCTATGAAGACAACAAAGAGACCAGAGGTAACAGCCCAAGAGTTAAAAGCCTCAGCCAACCAAGAGCCAGGGCAAGAGGTAGTAAATAGCAAAGGGAATGAGCCTGGCTCATTCATTACACCAAGGCATCAGCAAAGGAACTGTTGTTTTCCCATGAAGCAGCCCAGCCTGCCCAGGACAGCAGCCCCGATCGCCCCGGCCCAGCCTGCTGCTTACCCTGTAAGGAAAGACTGGAGGAACCTATGAGCAGATGCTAAAGCCCAGCCTCATTTCACCTCCTCAGCCTGTGTAGGGCACATCCACCCTGAGCAATGTCTCCAAACTGCAGTGCTGCCTTGGGCAGGAAATGTTCCTGGCTCTGTCTGCCTAGGAGCCCTAGCAGGTGGGGAGAGGTCAATCAGGATCCTCAGTGTGCCTTTCCTGGTCTTATTCCCCTTAAAGGAATGCAGAGCTGCATAACTCTTGGTGATTATTTCTTTTTCTCGGCCCCCTTTTCCTGCTTCCCCTCTGGCACCTTTCCTGCTCCTTTGATCACGCTCCCAGGAGAGCCCACGCTGTCACACTTGCTTGGCAAGCTCTCAAACACAGACAAGGAGGAGGATAAAGGTTTAAATATCAGGGGCCAACCAAAGCTATCAAGTTTTGCTTTTCCTCTTGGGCCTGCTTTGCTACAGCCTTCCAGAAAGAGATTCAGGGGTCTCTTTGGAAACCTTGCTAAGGAAACCTGGTAGCTGAGAGAACACAGTGCTGGGCAGTTGGCTACTCTGCAGCATCCTCCATAGTTAACAAACCTCTAGATTCATTTGTCCTAAAAACACTTCTGACAGTGTAAATCCAGTCATTAGGATGTTTCCTAGTGACTGCACAGAGCTGAAGGTGAAATCTGGGCCTGAAGGTGTTCTGGCGGTTTCTTTGTTTTGCAGAGCAAGCAAGACCTGTAAATAGGAGTAATCACATCTACCTGGCTAAGGAACGCTGCATCTGGGCCATCTATTACCATATATCTGAGTGCCAGGCAGCCTTTCAGATATTAATACTCGTATCATTGCTTGGCAAGAGACACTGGTAAGAAAAATAGAATAATTTGCCCTGGGTCCCTGCTGTCGGCAGTGGAGCAGGAATAGGACAACAGTCTCCCAGAAGCTGTTTCAGCTCTCTACTCACCAGATGACCCCTTCTCTGCTTCTCAAGTGTAGGGGAACACAGTCAATATTCCATAATTAAATCCCTTTCCACAACCAATAAGGATGAAGATAGGGAGGAAGCCCCAAAAGGTGAAGTGTTTTGCCCTGAACCACATAGCAAACCAGAGGCAGGACCAGAGCGCAGCACCCAGAGGAGCCCATTTCACAGATATCCATTGCAGTGTGTGCAACGTGTGACATTTCCAGCCTCATTTCTCCCACTTTCTGACCAGATTTGGAGCCAACCAAGCATCTTCTCCTATTTGAACAGCCTACCCTGCAGATATTGCCAGCAACAATACATAGCCACTTTTGAAATTGCTATTGATATGTCACCAGAAAGCCCGATTTCTTAAGGAGCCCCACAGCAATGATCACTGCAATGAGGGAATGGACACAGAGATCCTACAATTTTTTTGACCACTGGCACAATGACAAAGAACTTTCTTAAGATATAGCAAAACAGATTTCACCATCTGAGTAGTTAAAAAAAAATATAACCCTTGAGCTTAAAATTTCTACTAGGAGCCCAGTTGAAAAATAAATCCACAGTCATTCTCAGATACTTGCTTATTTTAAAAATATTGATGATGCATTAATATAGCTTGCGAGTTTAAAGCAATTATCTTAAGTTCACTGAGAGTTCAGACAAAACCAAAACAGGCAGAGCTGCATGTCCTCTCTGCTCCGTGCCACTGAACTGGAGCCCGGAGCATTCAGGCCCCCTTTCTCCCATTTCTTGATCATTCTGACTCACAGCGTGCTCCAAAAAGAGATAATATTATTCCTAGGCAGACACCGTATCTTCACTGTCTACTGAAAAGTCCCCTAACTAAATACAAGAAATCTCAGCTGCTAATATTTATTCATAATATTGAGCTTCTTAGGATGCCTGGCAATACCTAATGCATGCAGACACACGCACGCTCACATAATCATTTCCACCGGCAACAAAAGCCTGGGCAGAATCCAGACAAAACGCGCAGCGTGAAGAGCAGTACCTCGGCAGGAGTGGTCCATCTTGTTGTATTTGAAGTACCCGCTTTTGCACTGGCAGAGCGCAACGCCATCGAAGTCGGTGCATTCGGAGGTTTCCTTGTCGCACTCGGGGTCCTTCTGTTTGCACAAGCTGCCGACTGTCGAAACACACGAACAGCATCAACGCGTTTTTCCCTCACCACACCATTCCGCGTATTTGCTTTCCCCAGGCATCCCGTTTAGGTCACGTGTTGCTTTCATCTTCTTTTTCTTAATAATATTGACTCCATTATAAGATAGACGACATTACTACCTGTCACAGTTTCTTGCACTGCTACCATCGATCGCGCAGGCAGGCAGAGTGGGTGAATAATAAATATTTCAGCTTGGAGGCAGAATGGGAAATTAAAAAGAAAAATTTGTTTTGACTCAAGCTAAAACACATTTTCTCTGAGATGGATCAACAAATCAATTTTTCATTTTAAGTTTATGTCAAGCAAAACATTCTGCTCAGCCCAAAACAGATTCTTCATTACAATTTTAAGCATGGTATATTTTTCGCTTTTAACAAACAAAAAAAAAGCCTTTTCATTCATCTCACTTTGAAGCAATGTCTTTAAAATGTCTTTTTTTTTTTTTTAAACGAGTATTCAGAAAAACTCAGCGTGCATAAGTTATGGAACTGTGCCATCAATCTTGAATTTTTACTGGGAGGCTGGACTAAGAAGGATGAGCATATGAAAAAATATTCATGATATAATTTTTATAGAAAATGTGTTATCCATGTGGAACTCATAACTTTATTAAACTCATCTCTGATAGACTTTCCATCCCTTTTTTACTCTGACATCTATTCTTTAAATACTTAGGAATTCAAATCAAATTTATTTCTTAGTAATTCTGTTCAGGTTAGAAATGAAACTTTACTGAAAATGTTGTATCTGAGGTAACCACTGAAAATAATTTGCGTTGCTCTACTGAAATCATTTAAATCAATTCAATCCACAATGGTGTTTAGGATTAGGTATGGAAATGTTTCGTGGCCTGAAAAAACTTCACTGGGAGTAATTTTTACACCATGCCCATTTATCAGTGAAACCTGGAAGATGGAAAAAAGGTATTTCTCGGTGAAGGCTGGAGCAATGCTGATCTACTCAACATGATGGTTTTGGGCAGCTGCAATGCCCCAGTGGTGTCAATGACTGTCACCATCACCGTCACCATCCTCATGGTGCCTGATCAGGACTCATGGCTTTTGAGATCCTCTCTCCCTGTGGAGATCACCTAGTCTAAGCTCCCTGCTCAAGCAGGGTCACCTAGGGCCATTGCCCAGGATTGTGTCCAGATGGATTTGAACATCTCCAAGGATGGAGACTCTGCAACCTCTCTTGGCAACCCTGTCTCCTCCTTTTCAAAAGAGCCACATATAACATGTCTTGCTTTCCACTCCCACCATAACCAGTCCAGATCTTGGCTACCTCTGTGGAGCGGTCTGAGGTTTGAGATGAACTGGCAGGTCTCTGGGGGCGACGTGCACGCTCTGATGTAGCTTTTCACACTGGTGACGATATCATAGAAAGTCACATTGGAAGCCAACGAGAACGTGGATTGCACCGAAACGTGGACCATGTTGGCCTCCCTAGCAGGAAACAGAAGAGCTGTGACCATCACTGCTCATCGATGTCATCGTTACAGCAGTATATGCAGGACTTAGTAAGGCAAGTCTGCATAACACACATACAATATGCATGCTCACCAGAAAAGTGCTGCCCCTTACCTGGTGGCCTTAACCACAGAGCGGTGGTAGCCCGGCAAGGTGGCCAGCGATGCATCCAGCTGAAAGGGAGAGCAGAGCAGCCGGTTACTGCCCCAAGGTGGCACAGTGGGGACGTGGGAAGCAGGGGTCACTTGCTTCATCCTTGGCTGTCACCGCAACCGCAGTGTGATGCCCAGGGGCTCTCTGAACCTTGCAGTGGCTAATTTTGCAATGGGAAAGCAAGCAGGGCTGATGACACACTTGCATGGTGGATGGAGCAAGACCTGGTGCTTTGGAAATCAGCACCCGCCTTGGGCCCTGCTGTGTGATGGCCGCGAAGGGCAGCGGAGGAACTGCAGCCAGGCTGGGCACTGCTAACGGGGTGGGCTTAATCCTGTGGCAATCTGGCTAAATAACTCACAGGGACACAACCCCCCATCCTTGGAGACTTTTGGAAGAAAGTGGGGGTGCAGCAAGTTGCAGGTGTCACAGGCTCGGCCAACACTTGCTCCAAGCTTAAAGGTATATATAATTATCCACTGCTAAACATGAGACGAAAAACTCATCCTTTAGCCTAGCAGGAAAAGAAAGAACTAAGTTCCAGCCCAAAATAATAGCGCTGAGTCCTCACTGAGGATCACCCCTATGACCGAAACGTGTGCTCTTTGGCAGACAGAATATTATTAGTGTTTCCAGTATTACAGCCATCCCAACGTGCTCATGCTGAGTAAACATGGCATAATCGGTCCCCCCTCAAAGAGCAGCTTTGCATCTCCTTTTCACTAGTCCTACCCATACCTGACCAGGAAGGTTCAATGATTAAATGGGCAGCACTCACCATGATGAGGATCTCGCCCTCGATGTGTAGCAGTTCTTCATACTTCCCGTGAGTGATATTCGGCTTCAGGGGAACCTGACCAATAAATATTCGTACTGAAAAGGAGAACAAGAGGAGTTTAGCAGGAGCGTGTGCCTCCCCACCATGTACAGCTGAGATTTTGTCCAGCTCATACGAGACAGTATCTCAGTGGAAACTCCTTCTAACTGTGGGCAGAAAGCTCGAGAGCCATCGCACCAATAAAGCAAAGAGGCTGGGGAATTTTTCCCAAGAATTTCTGCATTATTCCCACAGTGCCAGTTAAATTCCAGAGCTCAACACTGCTAAACAACCAGCATTTCACCACTGACTTCATACATTTCTATGAACCAAAACTATCTAAGCAGCACAGACTAATTTACAGGGACCCCAAAACAGCAGAGAGAAATGGTAAATTTTACTAATGCAACAGTTCCTGGTACCAAAGTTACATACAATGATTTTGAGCAAATGTGCCAAATATTTTCCCTTTCCCTCAAACAAAAGCAAAGCAAAGCAGCAAGTCAAAACAAAACATTATAAAAAGGACATTTTCATTTCTAAGCTCTTGGAGAGAATAAGCAATGATATTTGAAAGGAGGTCCAAAAGATGTATTTTTCCATGTTCAGATTCGTATTTGATTCATGGCAGCAGAATGCAATAATCTAAGTTGTCCAGACTTGGAGACTTAATACCCCTCAATCTTTTATTAAATGTCATGAGATAACTCAGTGGAAACGAGAACGCAGAGCTCAAGTTTCATGTTCTATCAGAAAAACAAATACAGTTGCAGATAACATTATAAAACCTCTAATTCTTTTCAATTTTTTTCCCATCCACAGAGCCTATCTTCACCACAAATCGCATATCAGACAGCTCCAGTATAACAATTCTTGGCAAAAATCACCTCAGCAGTATTTATGTGATCTGCCCATACCCCAGTCCGAGGTATAATCAGAACAGCTCCCTAACTTAGAAGCTGACACATTTTGCCATAGAGAAATGTTTCAAAACGCCCTTCAGGAGCAACTCGGTCACATTCCCTTAGCAAAATTTCCATGTCACTAATCCTCTCTGAGTAAGGGTCAGAAGAAATGCTATCAAAATAAATTCCCCATCATGACGGGACACTGTAAAGTCCTTGAGATTCATAGTCCTTTAATATAAAGGTCCCTAATAACAAGCATGCTGCAGAAAAAACATCTAAGGTATGAAACTAGACCTTGATCTTTGAAAGACTTTCACGGCTGCTTAATTTTATGCACATGGTTGATCCCATCGAATTAAGCTGCACAAGAGCCCTGCTCACTTCCATGAAGTCAAGATGAGGCTTGACTTCATGGTTTTACAGGGCCGGGACCTAGGAGAATCCGCAGAATTCATTTTTGGGGTTGTAAAACACATTGAAAGTAGAACTGGCACATCTGTCATTCTTAACAAGCCTGAGCCCACTGCTCGGTTTCTGTATTTTTAAGGCCAGGCTTAGAAATCCTTAAATACTGTTGCCCTTGCTCCCTGGGGCATCGTAACGTGGCAGGCATTAGACTCTGCACTTGTACAAACAATAAAGGGTTCTTGTTCAAAGTGGTAGCTGGAAGCTACATTAAACTCCTGAAGAACTAGTTTGAGCCTCAGTTAATTTATTTCAGAAGATTACACATAATTATTTCCCTCTTGCCTCCCTGTCTTTTCATTTTTCTTTCTTACCTAAATTGCACTTTCCTTTTTCCAGCTCATACCCAAGAGGACACTGGCAGATGTAGGAGCCATGGGTGTTGTTGCATGTGGCCAAGGCAGGACAGGGATTGGAAAGACATTCATCCACATCTGCAAAAGTGAGGAGAAATTAAAAAAAAAATAGCCTGTAGTTACAGAATCACAGAAATCATCAAACAGTGGATTAAAAAAAAAAAAATCAATTTGGCTCCTGTGACACTCTGAGCACTATCAGATGAATCATTGCATCATTTGCACTTGCTATTTATCCTGTTCTTAATTATTTCATTGGAGCTGAAAGAACAAACACAAAACATTTTCTCCTGAATATTCATCCCAAAGCTCTTGGGACCCACATTCATATTAATACCCAGCTCTTCTACAGCATTGCTCAAATGCAGATCTCCAAGCGCTTTTCGGAGATAAACCTCGTTATAGTTAGGCGTGAAGGAACAGATGAAGTGACTTGGACAGCCAGAGCTCAACAGAGAACCGGAGCTCCTAGTGCTCCTTGCTCCAATTCCTGCCCTTCTGGTACGAGCCCTTTTTGCACGAACCACGGGAACCAAAGGCAGTGCTTCAACATGGCTTGAGCTGTCTCATGCAGCCTGTAGATTTGCTAGGTGAGGTGTAGGCAGTGCTGGCTGCTATTGCCTCCTACCCTGATGCCTTTCTGGTGAGGCCGCACCGCCCTTGGCACCAGGCCACACACACCCAGGCGGCTCCTCTCTGGGGCACAGCTTGAGGTGACCCCCGTGCTTCGAGCAGCCTGGCAGGGCTGGCTGAGCACCAGTGAGAAGACAACGCGACACCTCCCATCCAAGCAGAGGGAAATGAGTGGGTACATTTTAAGACGTTGGCTTTTCAGTTTGCTGTTTTTTCTGTACAAGCTGGGACACCAGCAGCCTCCCCCGGACAGCAGTCCTGCAGCTTCCCCAGGTCAGGTGCAGGAGGAACGGCGAGGGCGTTAGCAGCAATTCCTCGCTTTCTCCTCGGAACCTGGAAGCCTGACAGCAGCCTCTTCCCAGCTTTAACAACCGTGAAGTCAGCGCGGGGCTATGCTTGAGCTCAGATTTAGTCTGCGGCTCTGACAGGGGGATGAGAGCACGAGAAAGGCAAACTGGCCAGGATAATCATTTTGCTGGCATCTGCTTGGAAGACGTTATGGAGCTGCAAAGCTGTATGAAGCCCCAAGCACAAAGCCTGACATCCAAGATCAGACAAATCTTTCTCCTTTCTCTCTCTCTCTTTTTTTTTTTTTTTTTTTATTAGAGTAAATGGCAAAACCTGATATTTAAGAGAAAGTATAACTTGGCAAAAATGTGACTTGGGCAGTAAAGAGGCTTCATTCCACTATTGTTTGCCTAAAAAAAAAAAAAGTATTCACAGTGAAGTTTCTGTATGAAGCCATAGCTATAATTAAAACCAATCAACCCGAGAATTAACCTTTAAAGATGAAAGCATATAAACCATGGATGTAGCATATACTTTTATCAGTATTTCATAACAGTAATGTGATTAGTGCACATGATATCCTACAGTAGCATGAGGGTTGGGTTTCTGAACTTCAAACACAGAATCAATTTCCATTCATATAAAATGCAGCTTACTATATTTACTCGAGAAGATAAGGAGCCTGGTAGCAGTAATAAATGAAATCCTTTATTCGCCTATGGGACTTTTTGCCATCTAAACTCCTTCCAGGATGCTGCAGTGAGCCACAACCACCTTTTTCTGAACTGCCTCGTCCTCTGAAGGACATGACTCTCCATCCCAGCTTACTCCTTGAAAGAAGTTGCCCATGACTAAGCGCAAAGACGCTCTTGCAAACCTACACATTTGAGTTTTATAGGGTGAAGGATTTGCCTAAGTATAACCGCCCCGGTTTCTAACATCCCCAGGGATTTACAGAATGCCCTTGAACTACCGAGTCATCAAAAAGACAATTTGAAACACTTGCTTAGCACATTTCTCATGTTTTCTTCCATAGCTGTGGTCACATCAATGCACTCAGCAAGACTGTGGTATGTAACCTAGCAGGAGAAGGGACAAGTCCTCGAGAAGGAGATTATTTAGCGAGACGGGGAGAACATGATCATACGTCGTAATAACAGAATGAGTTCCAATGCAAACAGCAAACACCAGCCAACTGCCTTTTCTCATGAAGAAATACATATTGATCTATTTTTCAAGAGAAATATAAAGATTGTGCATCCTAATCTTACCTGGAAAGCCATTCACCTTCTATTTTGAATTTTCCAGATTTTAGCTTAACATTTTCATCACAAACACCCACCAAAATGTTCTCCTCTTTCAAGCATCTCTGCCTGATTCCTCAATCCTGATCTTAAAATTATCAAGAATGAAGACCAAATTTTTATTTCCAGTCCTGTGGACAATTTGCTACACAACCATCCAGGGACCCATGTGCTCCTGGTCCCCGTGTCACATCCCCCAGTTGCCATTATAAAGGTTACCTGTTACTGGCGACGGTGTCCTCACTGTGCTGCTCGGTGGAGTGAGAGTCGTTGGTTTTGTAGCAGCGGCTGAAGTCGTGGATTCGTCACTGGGATGTTTCCCTCGGTGACTCTACCAGTATTTGCAGTGCTTCGACCAACAGCTTCTGTAGTTTGACTGGTGGCATGAACTGTTTCAGTAGCAATGGGCGTTGGGGGCCTGAGGACTTTCGTGGTGCTAGGCTGAGCTGGGGTTGGCCTGCGCACTGCAGGTGTTGTCAGCACAAGGGGCTTCACTGTAGTCAATGGCACTGCCGGGGGGACAACCTTTTGGTTCGTTGTGCTCGGCGAGGCACCATGGGGTGTCCCTGTTGTCCCAGCACTCAGGGTGTCGCTAGCGGTGGTGAGTGGGGGGGTGGTCTTTCCAAAGCCACCCTCCTTGGGAGAAGCAGCGCTCGGCGAGGGGATCTCCGTTGCATGTGCGGGAGCAGACATGGACACAGCACGGCTGCCAAGCTGCTCCATGGGCTCGGTGGGAAGAGGAGGAGAGCCTGCAGAGATGAAGGAGGTGCTGTCCAGGGGCTGGTGCTTTCCACTGGGCTTGCTGGTCTCCCCAGGAGAGCTCCCAGAGATGGCTGCGGTAGAGGGCACCTGCCTGGCTTCCGTGGTAGCCACCGAGGTGCTTGTTCGACCGCTCTCCTTGGCCTGCGGCGTGGAAGACGGTGAAGAAAACAGAGGTAATAAAGACGTCAAGGAATAAGATGAGGAAAGCAATGAGGAAGTGGGCACGGCGCTTGACAAAGCCTGTAGAGGAGGGGATGAGGCCATCGTGGAGGAAGACAGCAGCTCAGATGCCTCTGACGACGCAAACAGATACACTGGTGACGGCGTCGATGACGGTGAGTAATGCAGTGATGGCGCTGAGGAAGAGGATGGAAATGCCGATAAAGATAGAGGTGATCTGCCAGTAGGCAACAGCTCAGAGTCCGTATCCAAAACGGTCGTATTTTGTATAGTGTCTGTGGAAGCAGAAGTCAACAATTTGGAAGAATGTACTAACAATGGCTCAGTAGATGGTTCAATAAAACTGCTGTCACTGGAGACATTGCTTCTTCTGTCCTGGGTCACAGAAGAAAGTTGAGATGAATCAGAAGGGCTGGAAATGTCTGAAAAAAAAGTGGAACTTTCCGAGGACTCAGCAGAGGTGCTACTATTTGATATAGACAGGAGGGTCCTCTCTCCACCCCTGGTGTACGTGGTTGAAATGTATGTGCCATCTGTGTGTGAAACAGAGGTCCTTTTCTCCACATCAACACTACTGACTGGCTGATGGCTACTTGGAAAGCCTGGAGTAAAAGGACAAAATACATTAGAAAGATAGCATAATATGAAACTATTTTGACTTCATATTAAAATTGCTTGCTAAATACATCAAACATTCTTGTCTGTGAAATGGTCCACATTCCTTTTCAACTTGTAACATAGTGACCTGAAACACTAGAATTTCATGGCTATTGAATTGGGAGTCTTCTGCATTCTTTAATTTCAAAATATTGAAGTTTGACAGACATAGGCTCCTGTGGAAAGCATACGCTTCTAAAAAATGCTTCTTCTAGTATTGCTTTTCTCATGTGATTAAGCACTTGGTATTCTGTAATATTTTGTGGCAGGCTAAGCAGGAAAACTCATCTGTTCTCTTTATCTGTCATGACTTATAAAACTCATATTTTCTCCTTCTTAGTCTCTATTTTGTACTAAAGAATATCAATCTTATGTCGATTTGTTTCTAGATACAGTGAACTGTGTGCCTCTGTAGGATGAAATTATTATGTTAATTTGTAGCTTATCATGAACTTATTGATCAAAAGCTTTGCAGGCAGGAAGTCTTAAATGAATAGCACACCACCTTGCAAAATTCAGATTATTTTGCATTAAAGGTACAGTCAATCTTATAAGATGAATTTCAGGATTTAAATAGATCTTCAGGAATCTCTAAAATACAGAATATTGAACTTAGTTCTAGAATTGACTTAGGTCAGCATGAAACACTTACAAAATGTCCCAACAACAAATTAGCTATGGTGCAAAACAAACGACGTGACCATCAAAGCAAGACAACTTCCTTGCTAGTGAATCAGGAACCCTCTTCGTCCTTGAGGATGGTGGTTTGCCTCCTGGAACGATTTCCCTGACAGATGGGGTTTGGCTTTCTGCTATTCGTGGCAGCGCTCAAATGTACAAAGACATCCCCTGTGTGCACCCACGGATGATATTTCATGTACTGGTGAATGAGGGCTTTGCATACAACACAGGTAAATGCAGGATAACGGGGACTCACTCTTTTCCTCCCCCTAGAAAACACATAGAGACAAACACACTAACTTACTTGAGAGATCATTTTGGAAAGATGAGTAAGCTGGGATCTTGGAAGAATGCGTAAACAGCATCTCAGTCGCAAGCCCCGTGACGCCCAAGCTGCTCGCGAAGATGTTTGGAGTCCTGCTCTGCTCCCTGGGCACCGAGCTCTTCGCTTCGGAGGAATCAGCAATTTCCACGTGCGATGTGGAGCTCTCTGTGCCCTGCTCCAGGGTGCTGTTTGCCACAGAGCGCAGTGTCCTCTCCCCGCTTCCCGTCACCGTGGCTGAACCGTGCGCGGGGGCGGTGTGAGCGCGGGAGACCCTCTTCTCGGTACCCGAGCTGCTCGGTGAGTGACGGTCACTTCCAGTGGCTGAAACGGTACCAGAAAGGTGGGCGCTCGATTTTATCATCTCCGCTCACAGTGGACTTATGCATTCTACAGTAATTCTATTTTGAAATACAAATTAATAAAATTGCACAGGCAAATACAGATTAAGTAGATTTCACACATCTGCCACCTTAAACACAGACTTAACACACAAGGCCTATTCCATTGAAAACTTTTGAAACTGGCCTTTAAAATGTACAGAGTCAATGATTATCATTAGACTCATAAAGACACAAGTTTTTAGAATTATCACCCCACTCAGCCAAGCTGTAAACATTTTCTATAGCAAGCGAACACAGCTCATCCTGAGTTTTAATACCAACAGTTGCCAATATACAACAATATCCACAAACAAAATCATCTTGATTTATAAATGTTGCCCATGCCACCCACAACAGCTCTAGGACATGTTGCTTGCAATATCAAGCCCATGGAGAAGGAGGAGTAAATGTTTTTTATCTAATTCAACTCTGGCAGCTCTGGAGTTCAGAAAAAACTCACTAGAAGTTTCTTGGGGGGCAGAGAAGGCAGTGGAGGCCCGGGATGAAAGCGTGACCTCGGCCAAGGGCTCGGTGTAACCAGCATCTCTGGACGAGACAGGCCCTCCCTCAGGCCACACTGTTGTGGAGGGGACAGGACTGGAGCACGACTCCCTGGCCACATCTGGGTTGGACGTGGAGCTTTCTGTCACCTTGCTCCATGTGCTGCTGTCACCTGGAGCCTCAGATGTCCCCTCTCCGTGCGTAGAGAAGGCAGCTGAGGTGTACATGCTGTCGGTAGGAACACTGGAAACCCTTTCTTTTCTCCCTGGAATTGCAAGGCAGAGATATACATACATATCATACAAATATAACATTTATGTGTTAATGATACTCCTGAGGCTCCAATAGGGACTAAAATCTGAACATTACAGTTGTCACAGCTGGAAGCATAACTCAGTTAGTGACACCACTTATTTGCTAACTGGAGTTCTCAGGACACCAGTATTTTTAGGCCAGTAAAAGAAAAGCCTTGGATGGAGCAGTGGGCTTTCAAACTAACTTTTGTGGACATGGATGCAGCGCGTGGGACCCTGAAAGCACAGCCGGGACTGACCCACCAACCAGCATCTCCTCCGTCAGGCACCAGTGCCCTGGCTGAGGACACTACAGATGCATAGCAGGATGTGTGCATGGCCTACCCGGGCAGAGAGGGAAAAAAGTAGCATGGCAAAGGTGGGGAAAGAAGGAAGAGGGGTGCAAAGTTCAGGAATCACACAACCCACCAGAATTATTCAGGGAAGATGAAGACATTGAAAGACTGGAAGAAAATATAGGCAGTGGCTGCGTTGGAAGCTCCCCGAATTCGTCATCACTCTCTGAAATATTATGCTGACTTCCAGCTTCCATTACAGAAGATGACAGCTGGATCGGATCCAAGGACGTGCGGCTTTCTGCAGCACCAGGAGCTGCACTGATGCTGGCTCCGGGCTCCATGGTCCTTTCTGCACCCCTGGTACCCGTCGCTGCGCTGGAGGCACTGGGGAGAGGAGACTCAGACTCGCTTTTTTCTGGAGCCAAGATGATAGTTGTTTCGGCTGAGAAAGGATAAATAAAGCAAAACAATTTATACGTATCAAACTGTAAGCAGATGGATACGTTTTCTCCTAACCTCACCCGTAGGCAGACAGTGTGCGTAGAGATATAACGCATGAGAAGACTTAAATCTGGAGAAAATACTAATTGCAAGGACACAACCAATTTTCAAGAATACAGGGAATTATTGCTCACAGAGTGGCACCCTGAAGAGGGCACTAAAAACAAAACGTTGAGGTCGATGTTTATTTGTTTCCCTTCATTGCTGCGTGCCCCAGCTCTGCATTCCAGACTGCTGGCACTTGCAGACACCAGAACAACTATAGAAATGCCTGGAATTAAACTAGGTGGGGTTGCAGTGGTGAATAACTCAGAGAGATTTAAACAAAGCATGTTGTGCAGGATCCGTAAACGTTGCATTTGTTTTCCAGGGTGGGAGTCAGGAACAACCAGTGTTGCCTCCCCGCTCTTATAAACACAGCGTGGTTTCAAGACAGTCCTCTTGGCCAGCTTGGAAAACAACAGCTCTCAAGGCCAGACTGCTCGTGCAATACGGCTGATTTTCTTTGGCGAGTAAATGCAAATAACAGCTAGTTTACAGGGATAATGTATTTTTCACTGAAAGACGAATTTTTATTCCATGAAGTCCAATATCATTGTCCAGCATCTTCTAGCATCCTGCTCATCCCTCCATAGAGGGCTGAGATCCATGGGAATGAGTCCTATGGAGGCCACCAGAGCTCACCTGAGGAGGTGCTTTCTGAAGCAGATGCAGAGCCTGAGAGTGACAGGTCCATGAACGTCGCGGTGGCACCTGCTGCCAAAGCCATCCCAGACGACTGGGTCTGATCCAAAGGGCGGATCATTTCGGTACCAGAAGCAGAAATCTCTGTTGCATTGATCAGGCTGGTGCTGCTTGGTAGTGACCTTAATGTCCTTCCTCCACCTCTGCTGGATGGTGTCGAAACATAAGCAGTGGTGCTAGGAAAATCCGTCCTTTTCCCTGTTGATGGAATTCTAAGTGACACGTGGCCCCTTCCAGTAGCTATGTGATAAAAAAATATATATATACATGTGAGATTATAAACAAACAGATGAGCTTTCTTCTCTAACACTCGGAGGCAGAAAGTACATACGCAGATAGAAAATACAAGCAGATGTCAATCCAGAGAAAAGAGGAAATTTGAAAGGATGTGATCCTTTCTATAGAAAAATTGCCTTATAAAACACATGATTTGATTCCAAGGAAAGTGCAATTGTATAGTCTATGGAACTACTATGCTCTGCACTTAATTTCACCGTTACGTGGCTCACTGCACTCCATGCTGCTAGAACAAACAAATACTGCAGCATTTCAGAAAAGCCTGGCATTCAGTTCAGCTGAGGTGCAATGCTGAGCAGTGCAGAGAGCTTAGAAAACATATCAAATTTGAAGAAATGGGATTAGTGGGGATCAGCCTCCCTCAGCACTGCAATGGGTCAAGGACCATAAGCTCTGCATAGAGAATCTCAGAGACCACGTTCAAAGTTGTCTTAAATGTGCTGAACTGGCTAAATTTATGGGAAGCAACACGGTCCAAGAGGTTCAGCAAAGGGCAGGAACTCAAAGGAACTGAAGTCAAGTCCCTTTCACTGCAGAGACATGATTTATTCCTCACTTGTTTAGTTCCTTTGCCTATAAAACACAGATAGCAATTCAAGACAGTAAAAAGAAAAGATTTGTGATTTGAAAGTAAGTTGTTTTTCTTGACTTGATGAGACTTTTCACAGAAGATGTGTCCTTTCTGTAAAACCCAAATCATTTTTTTTTCCTAAGAAGTAATTCAGACACGAAAATCACATCACATCTTTCCTAACAGTGTATACCGAACAGCAGTAACATGCTTTGAGATCTATGGAAGAGAGTCAGGTAAGCGGAAAATAATATGGAAAAAATAATAGCCCCAGTTTAATTTACAAGAAAAATGGTATCTCATTTGTAACTTGAGCTCACCTGCCGAAGGTGTTTCTGAAACAGAGTGAGAATGTGTTAACGAAGGGTCTACCGAAGGCTCGGTGACATCCATGACTGCTCTTGACCCGTTAACTCCATTGGTCTCTCTTATGGAAGATGAGGACTGGCTCGTACTTGTGGCCTGGGACATGCCAGTGCCAGAAGTAGATCCTTCTGCTACCCGTTTACTGATACTGGTTACAGACCTCAGTGTCCTTCCTCCCATGCTGGTGACTGTGGCTGCAATGTATGAGCTGGTGGCAGCAGAACCAGCAGATCTTGTCTCCGTAGCTGAGCTCTTAGTTGGTCGGGAGCTGCCTCTGAAACCTGAGGTACGAAAAAAGCAGATTTATTTTACGCACATGAAGTCATACACTGATGGACTCTTTTAGGCCATGCACCAATGGGTACGTGATTTGTTCACAGTGGATGAAGTTCTCAATCTGGAGCTACTTCAGGAAGGTGCAACTCCTTCCTGCTTAGGCACACAGGCCTTATAAAAAGCTATGGAAGTCACAATTTAACAACAACAAAAAAAAGATGGAAATAATTTACAGTGAAGATGTCTGCAACATTTCATTTATGCATTTAAGCTCTCTTGGAACCAATTTAAACCTGGAGCCTCTCCCTTTCAGTTCAGAGCTCATCCAGAGGATGACTCAAAAAAGAGTCTTGAGGTTCCTTCAAACCCCCGAAGCTCCCAGCCTGACCCAACGGTGCAGGTTCACAGACCCCAGTGGACAGCAAATCCTGGATGCTGCCCACAGGGACACGCATGCAAGCTAGACACCAGAGATACATGAGCATGGTGTGTAATCCACTTATAGCCAGGGGCACTTGCCAAGCTAGGGGAGAGCCGAGGGCGACGTGGCGCCAGGGATGCTGCAGTTCAGCTCGTTTGCCCGGCGCGTGCACCGCAGCTCACCCATGCAGACCTCAATGTGCATTAACTGAGTGGCAAGGCACAAAGCAATGGCCGCTTTTCCTGGCATGGGAAATGTCATTAGCAAGCGAGTACACCAGCGTTTTGCAGGTTTTCAGCCAAACCTTCAAATCCCCTTCCACTCTTCTCAAATCCCCATGCTAGCTTGATGCAACCAGTAATAAAAAAATCCCCGCATTTACAACAGCGCCATGGGAATGCAAAATCCCGCCTCAGCCCCCAGTTGCCTCCTTCCAGCCTAACAAATTTACCAGTGGAAGCGCTTCCCGTGGCGGAGCGCGCGCGTGGGAGCGCCGTGACGCTCGCGGCATCCCGCGAGCCCCCCGTGCCGCGTGTCCACGCTGCGCTGGAGGACGTGGTCCCGCCTGCGAGGCTGGTGGCACTGCTGCTGGACGTGGCCAAGGGGATGCTGCTGCCAGCTGCAGGGCCCGAGGACTTTGCCGCAGCGCTAGTGCGCGCCGAAGCCACCGCGGCACCGTTGGTGGCAGCGTGCGAGGGCCCCTCCACTGCGT